AACATGTCTCTTTGACATGGTGTCACCATGGGTTGTTGAGCTCAATAATAAGTGGTTTTCTGAGCCTGAGAAAATAACTTTCAATACAAAAAGTTCTGCAACCTTTCAATTCCATGGGACTGAGGTAAAATCTGTGTCTTTTGGGTTTGTGGCATTCAGCCAGGTTACCTTTCTGATGGAAGTGATGATTACAGTACAGTGCAATCAGACTACCAACATTACACAATTCCCTGCACTTAATCAGGCACCGTAATTACAGGAAGGACAAGTCATGCTGTCGAAATCTTCAGGGCAGAATTATGAATCATTTATGATGTTGCAAAAAGAAATGTGAAGCTTTCTTGGTAGGATTGGCAAAAGGATTAGCCTTTGACAGAGATGAAGAAAACAGTGATAGTGATACTAAGCCAGAAAGAGCAAGTCTGGATGTGCTTTCAAAACGTCTAGGTATAACAAAATTGTCATTTGGTACAATCGGTAGCATTTTTTTTCTTCACAGAGTGTGCTCTCCTCCCTTTTAAGCTTAGGAACGAGGCAGTGAATATGATTTGGAAAGGATGTTGTATGAAGTCATCAGAGACCTGTATTGGTCAACAAGTACTTGGGATTAATCTTGGGTCAATATAAATCTGCCGCTTTGTGATTTCATCATTGTGGCAATTCCAGAAATTGTATTGACGTTTTCTTCCTGGTGTGAATGACGGACCGGAACTGGCAAACTTGTATATATCCACAGGCAAAAGAAGACACAGGTCTTCACATGTTTAAACAGACTGTTGGGGTTTTTTTTTGGCGACCCAATGCATTTTTACTCTTGACTTCTAGCACTAGAATAAGCATAAATACAATTATAATTTCAAAGTTTAGGAAAGGACAATGCCTCGGTTGTTGCACTGAGGCATTGAATGTTTGCTTTTTTTGTTTGTTGGAATCCACCCTGAGTCCCCTCGAGGAGATAGGGCGGAATATAAATTATTATTATTATTATTATTATTATTATTATTATTTGAAACACAACAAGATAAGTCCACAGCAGATATTATGCTGGCTGTTGTATTGGATCACACGTCAACACTTCCCAAGTGTCTAGGACTGTGTGATGTATCAGCAAATAATGCGTGTAGATCCCAGTAAGGTGGCCTTCTGCAGCTGGCAGATGGTAATTTTTTCAATGCCGATTATGTTTACGTGCAGGCCAAGGTCTTTAGGCACTGCACCCAGTGTGCCAATCACCACTGGGACCACCATGACTGGCTTGTGCCAGAGTCTTTGGAGTTCAATCTTTAAATCCTCATATCGTGTCAGCTTTTCCAGTTGTTTCTCTTCAATCCCGCTGTCACCTGGGATTGCGACATCGACGATCCATACTTTGTTTTTTAACACGATTGTGTCAGGAGTATTGTGCTCCAAAACTCTGTCTGTCTGAAGCCGCCCTGAGTGTCCCCCCCCCCCCCCGGGTTGAGAAAGGCGGGGTAGAAATACCCGAAATAAATAAATAAATAAATAAAGTAGTAGTTATTATTATTATTATTATTATTATTATTATTATTAGTGGTAGTAGTAGTAGTAGTAGTAGTAGTAGTAGTATCATCTATAGTTCTGTCACATAAATATAATTTTATTAAGTATACCATTCAGTCTTACAAGAACAGAAATTTCTGGAGTTGCTGAAAATCTCTGTCCATATACTGAACCGTTACAGAATAAAAAGGAACTAGACTTACAACTTTTACTTATTTACAAGTTCTGTAGATGGCCAGAAATGAGAAGAGGTTGGATAGAGAGAATGTTTCGAAAAAACTTTCAAGGACATCTGATTTAATATGTAGTATTCTTATTACAGTTAGGCTTTCACTAAGACCTCCTGGTTTTAATTTCAAGATCCACTCGCCTCCTTTCCTCTGCAAATGTTTTTGTTGCTGTTTACCATATTTTCCAGCACCCAGAATGTGATGCTTGTGATGCCTGAAATTCAAGACAATAACACACTTTGCACACGTTTTGTCATTGTGCATACATTGTGGACACATTTTTCCATTATTTATATTAGACTAATGTTCCTCTATATTGGTATGACAGTGAATGTTCCAGAGAGCTATGCAAAAAAAGAGTGTTAAGATAGCTTTGTGTGCAAATATAACAACAGCAAAAATATTGTGGCAATTTAAAGATTAAGGCCTAAATCCCAAGTAACACTGAACCCACTAAATCAATGAAACTTGAGTTGGGTTACCTAACTCCCATTCATTCAGTGGATCCGCTCTAGTTGGGACTAATAATTGGATTTAGATCCGAGGCATTTTTGTTTGGCATGAACTTTATAGTCTACAGCCAAACATCATGAGCTGCATGGAACGTTGCCAAATTAAGTGTAGGATTCTCCTCTTTCCATCTCCAAGTTCAGCATTCTGGAGATGGCAGCTTTTAAAAAGGAAGTTGCTGTAGGGATCATTTTCTTCTAGAACGTTAGCAGAGAAGTCTGAAAAACTTGCCAGAGTTGGGTTTGAAAACTAACATCTATTGTCAAATAAATCAAGTTAAATCTGCAATCTTTTATAAATTGCTTGCATACTATACTGTACCAAATGTAGAAGTCCCGTCATTATTTTTAAACTTGGCAGTAACTAGTTACCTCCATTTAGCTAGGGATTTTAATGTAACAAGAGCAGAGATCATTATCATCAACTGCTGCTCCTTTTTGTTCGTTTTGGGTTTGATAGCCTGATGTATTGTTTTAATTATGCTGCCTTGAAACTCAGGTTTGAATGCTGTTGTGCACATATCTGTGTTATAGTTTCTATAATAATAAAAGTGATAAAAGACAATGCAGACCTGTGTATCTGCTATCTTTACTGTACTTTGAAGACTGAAACGTAGGTACCTGAAATTTGGCATGAATATTAATCGGACCCTGAGGGTGTGCACCTTAGGGTTACTTTGTTTTTTGAATGGTTTAATGAAGTTTAATTAATTAAAATCTGCCTGAAGTACTTACTTAGCTTACTTTCCCTAGAGATGAAGCTGCAGTTTAGTCTAGGATTTCTATTTCTCCAGAAGGCTTCTAGTTTGCTCTAAACAATTCCCTCATCTTTATGGCCCTTGAACTCATCAAACAGTTCAGGGGGGGAAGAGGAAGCAATTCAGCTCCCTAATAGGTGAGAGGGGAAAGGAAGTAGAAGAAAAGACAGAATGAGCAATACTAGGAGAGATAAGTCATGAGTAAGAAGGGTCAAAGAGAAAAAAGAACTAGAAGTGCTGAGATGGATACTGTATGAGCGCTGGTGGAGGTGTGTCTATGCTGTAGAATTAGTGCTGTTTGAGTCCACTAAATGCCGTGACTCAGTCCTATGGAATCGTGGGAGATATAGTTTTACAGGGTATTTAGCCTTGTCTGCCAAAGAGTGCTCATGTCTCACACATTACAAATCCAGGATTCCATAGCATCAAGTCATAGCAGTTAAAGTGGTATCGAACTGCATTGATTCTGTAGTGTAGATGTATCCTGGGATTTCCATTCTTGCAGATTTGGAAACTTCTGCTGCTGTTCTGGCTGAGTACTAGTCTGTGAGCCTGGTGGGGTTTTGCAGACAATGAGAGTATGATTGAGAATACATCTAACTTAATCCTCTGGTTGCACTTTATTAGACAGCCTTCTTCATCCTGGCACCTTTTCACTATGTTAGGTTTCTATTCCAACCATCCCTAGATGACATAGGAACTATAGATTAAGATATGTAAAGATTGCCAGGTTGAGGAAAGCTTGTTGAAGTATGACATATAAAGTATAAACGAGTTTTGGGAAGGCTTTTATAGGGGGCAGAGCAATAGGTATGAGCAGGTTGCCTCCCAAAGATGCTAGTTGGCCATTATGATGCCATTATGCTTGAGAATAATTCTGCTAAATTTCTAAAGAAACTTCACATCATTTGGAACTTGTATATAAAATCACAATGCATAAAACATTTCAATCAACCTCTCAAGACAGAATTTCATTGGTGTCCCTTAGTTTTGAAATAATCCAACTACTATGACAACCTGACTTTTCATCCTGAGGCATGAAGGGAGATATTTCCAGCCACATGAACTAATTCTGCAGATTCATGGGCATTTGTGACTCTTTGGCATGCGTATCTCTATCTTTGCAAACATCACTGATTAGGGTTTTAATGAGTTCAAGGTAGGTGTCCATGGAGTACATGAATGATTGGAGAGAACAGCAATCTAAGCATCTGACATGGAACAGAACAAGGGAGGCAACAATGAGAAAAGCACAAAAACATAGATCAACATTAGCGTCATGGCAGTTGAAGTGGTGTCAAACTGCATTAAACATACAGTGTAGATGCACCCTGTGTGAAGTTTCAGGCCAAGCAGGAAAACTATTATAATTGCCCTGCTTAGCCAGGATGTCCCAGTCACAATGTAAGGATAACTCTAAATGTGGCAGCACTTTCTCTAACATGATTTAAGATGCCACATGACTTTGCTGTTTCTACTGCATCAGACTTAACAGGGCAACCCCTTTCAGGGTGACCTCTTTAGAAGCTGTGTACATTTTGGCTATTTACATGTTTGACTCATGAATTGTGTGTAATTTTCTGTATTGCCCCCATTTGTGTAGTTGCGTAGTTATTTATCTCTGAATAGATAATACAGTAATGAATGTGGCTGGAGTGGGTGGGTGAAGAGACTCACAATGACTCATAAACAACTCTCCTCTCCAATTTTATGGTCAAAATATTGACAAAGTCGGAGCTGAATCTTATGGAGGAGGGGGTGTTTCTCCTATGTATGTATGTATGTGCAAGGGAGACATTTCTGTCTTTGCTTCCTTTGATATTCTCTTGCAGTTCTTGTTGTAATATCCTTTTTCTGGAATGCGCTGGATTAACTTTGAATATTCAAAGGAAAACTGTTAATGTAATGACAAACATATTATGGTTTTTCCACATCTTTAAGCTTGTTGTGGTCAACCCTGATTGTTTTCTCTTTCTCCACAGAATGCAATGAATTTGCCTCCTGACAAAGCAAGGCTACTCCGGCAGTATGACAATGAGAAAAAATGGGAATTGATCTGTGATCAGGTAAGGTGGCAATTAAATGCTTCCTTAAGCCTTGTAATTTGGTTTTACAGGCGCTCTCTAGAAGGCAGAACCTTTGGGCTTACAGTTCTCAAAATCCTGGGAGCTATAATCAAATAATTAACACTCTCCATGCTCTCCAGTAAGGTGAAATAATAGAAACAGAGGAAGCTGGCTTGCACCAGGTCAGGCAATGCATACATCTAGCCCAGTATGGTCTGCTTTATTGTGATTTGCTCTCTCGAAGATCCCAGAGATCTTTCCCATTAGGTGCCATCTTGTTAGCTCAACTTGTGGTGCCAGGTACTTGCATGTAGAGCTTTAATACTTCTTCTACTTTAGTTCTTTTCTTCTTGATAATGGTAGTGGTTACTCTTGCAACACAGAAACATTTTCTAAGAATGTATGACAGGCATAATAAATATGTTGGTTGAGGAGTTTTAGGCAGTACACATCAAAAAGTAGCTTTTTTTCAAGACTTAGCCCTCTGTATACATTCAGCATCATGTGCAATATTCTGTATTCATATACTATGTGAATATCTCCTACAGGCTTTCTCGTCATGACCGTGGCTATCTGGTTAGGCCACAGAGAGACTCATTTCAAGGACAAGGGCAAAACAGCATTTTCATTTCATTTTCATTGAGGTTGTGGTTCTCAACTTCTAGGTCTCCAGATGTTTTGGCCTTCAACTCCCAGAAATCCTAACAACTGGTAAATTGGCCGGGACTTCTAGAAGATATAGACCAAAACACCTAGGCAACCACAGGTTGAGAACCACTGATTGAGAAGAAGAGAACTGTAGAATGGATGCTGCTCCAAATAAGATTTGAGATCTATAGGAGATTATTAGAAGAGCCATATTGCAATTGACAAAAAGTCAGGAGAAATATGCAAGGTTGCCTTTTGGCTTTGTAAGCCACATGAATCACACGACCTCAGGTTCCTGGGCAAATCAGATGGCAAATCCTAATGGAAGCATTCTTTCTATCTGCTTGAGAACATTTTAGCTAGTTTACATATTTCTTTTGCAACCTTTCTTTCTGTGGCAGCTGGCTTAATATGTGATAATGAGTAAAAATGTACTGAACTTGGCCTCCAATTCAGCACATTAATGAACAGATTAGCACATAGACATCGTGACTTCAGTTCTGTTCCTGGGGAACAGAATATTGGACAATTCCATGGGCCACATCTTCATCAAATCAAACTGAGTTAATAGTGATTTGGCACCATTTTGTATCTAGAGGTGACAATGGCACTTCTGATAAGGGAATTTAAAAACTCAAATCCAACACTGTGACATATGATTTGGTGAATTTGAGCCATCCTTGGAGGCACATTGATGAAGAATAATTTGTCCTGCTAGTTATTAACTTTTGATTTACTGATAAAATCCAGTCATTCTGGGAATTAGTAGAGCTGTCTACAGGGATGAAAAGTTTCTTGCAGGTGTTGCATTAGCAAAATAGTAAAATGCTCTCATTTCTTTGTTTACTGGGCTTACGTGTGTGTTCATGTATATATGTTTCTGTTGTATATGAATTCAACATAAAGTCTGAAACAGCAAATAAGAGCTGCCCCTTAAAATGATTAGTCCATCAGAGTAACTGTAAAGCTGAAAATATTCAAACAGATGACTAGATGGGGCAAATTTGCTTGTTTTTAGTCCTTCTGAAATTAGTTTGCTCATTGTTATGTGGAAACTAACTCAACCCTCTCACTCTCTATGTTATGCTATGTTATGCTATGTGTGTTTGTGTATCTCCCCAGAGCAGTTGTCAAATGATCCTGGAACTACAGAACTAGCAGCTTGTGTTCCTTGAATATTCTATGCAGAACATTTCAAGCATTGTAGGGATTTACAATTGCAATTTACAGAGACACTGTGGCAAATTGCTTAATCTGCTGTAAGTAACTCATTTCCTCAGGGCTGTTTGCTTACAGCATGGTGCAGTTAGAGCAAAAAGCCACTATGAATTGTGAGCTTTGTCTTTGGTTGTATACGCTGTCAGCCAGCAAGATTCAGAAAGAATGCAAGTTGCTATATGATTGGGGCTGAGGCGCTGTCATTCACACCTCCAAGTCAATTGTACTCATTTGCATCTCACAGTCCTGCTATTTCAGATAAAGATCTGCCTTCTTGGAATCTGTTGATATAACAGTAAGGCTGGAGTAAAAACATGTGAGAATTTTCATCAAGAGAAGATGATGGAGAAATCCAGAGGAAATATTACTTGGTCATTTTCATATTTTTGTCTGTAACATTCAGAGTGTTTCTGCTAGAAAGAAGCTATTAAATGGTACTTGGTCTTAGAACTTTTTCTGTCTGTTCCCTGATGAGGGTGGATTTGAATGTTTCCAGGTCTTCCTAGTTTCCCCATTGCCAGCCTTTACCATTTCAAGGACTCTAACCATTAAGAGTTCTCCTATGCTTCAGGAGGACCATCTGTGGTCAACCCTGTGACTTCTTGAGGGTTATTATCAGCAGGTGTAAATTAGATAGGTCAGGAGGTAAATATTTCAGAAAAGCAATTCTGATGTAGCATATGGTGCATGAAACTTTTATATCTCTAACTGTACAATTGCAACACATGGTTCGTTTAACCAAAGATTGGTTCTGCATGTTATATATTTCAGGTTTTACTCTTGATTGGATATGGTAGACTATATATATATATATATATAAACATCTCTTGAATACAGTAGTTCTGTTATGTAAAGTTCGTAAAGGGAGGTGAAAGAGAATGAACTTTTCTGAAGGAAGTCTTACCTGGATTTAACTTGCTAGCTTGGGACCATGTAAGAAAGATATTAGATTTTAGATTTCCCAGAGGAAGAAAACCACTCATTTGTGCTTCTTCCAAGAGCAAACCATTTCTAGGATCCAGAGGTATCTTTCAGAAGCAAAATTCGACTTATGCAACCAAGACCCACTTAATTATTTGATTTCCCTGTCCTCATGCAGCTCGCCCATTCTGTGTGATTTCATGCCTTTCCAAGGTCTTTCAGCCAACAGAAGTGGCTCTTACATTACACAGAAGGAGAGAGACACCCGCTAGGTTTCTCCCCATCTCTTTCTGTGGTAGGGATGTAATTTTTGCAATTTTCTTCTCTCTGTGAGAAAGTTTTCAAAAACAACATATTTTTTAAAAAGCTATTCACAATTAAGGATTTATTCTGCACAAAATTTGCACGTGGTTGTTTTGCATACAAAACAGCATTTTGTGAACAGGAGCCAGAATTTTCTATGTGGAAAAAAATATTTCAGTGCAGAACTATTAATTCCTACATAGAAATTGCTGCTTTCTATGCAAAGTAACCTTGTATGAATATTATACAAAGCAAACCCCCAGTTACAGCTTTTGTTGAGTAGAAAACAGTGTTTCTTGTACAGTACAGGCAGTCCCCAAGTTACAAACAAGATAAGTTCTGTTGGTGTGTTCTCAAGTTGAATTTGTATGTAAATCAGAACTGGTACATTTTTAAGTGTAACTCAACACACACACACACACACAGAGACATCTTTTAGCTTTGGAAAGCATAGGGAAGGGTTAACACCTCTGTTGTGTTTGCGTTGCTCTCTGTGACCCTGTTCAGAAAACTTGAATATATTCTTCTGCTGAGTCCTTGAGCAGTTGGGTTGAAATGTGGATGAGCTCAAGTAGAATTCTAAATCAGCTTATCCTGACCAGTTCTAAGACCATTTTGTATTAGTTATTACTAATTGTTCTACTTCCCATCTATTCCTGGAGGCTGGGGGAAAACATTTCTTTATTTCTACTCAAAATATATACCTATACAGGAGGAATGTTTGCCACTAAGGTCTTTAGCAAAGAAGCATGGTCAACAGCAGCAGATCCGCAGTCTAAAGTGTAAATTAGTGGTGACTAGCCTTTGGTCCTCCATGTGTTTTAGGCTTCAACTGCAAGAATTTCTGAGCATTGGGCAGGACTTCTGGGAGTTGGAGTCTCAAACACCTGGAGGATCAAAGGTTGGGTATAACTGGTGTAAATGGTGATAGTGATTATGATGATGATTTATATCTTACCCACCTCTTCTGAAGGTTTGAGGTGATGTACAGCGTAGAATTAAAACACAATGTGAAATTAAAACACAAACTATTACATGTGAAAACAATCCATGCTTTAAATGTGATTTTCAGATTCATAGTTTAAAATAAAACTGGTCAACCTGCAAGAAGAGATGGGTCTTATAGTGCTTTGAAAAATTTAGAGAGCATGTCTGGCTGTTAAATTTCTTCTGGCAGGTCATTCTATAGTCTGGGGAGGCTACCAAAAAGGTCCTTTGGATAACAGTTACAATCTAGTACTGACTGGTTGAGGTAAATGGCTCCCAGACGACCTGAGTATATGAGCTACATTATATAAGAGATTATACAGGAGGAGTTGATCCTGTGTGTAACCTAGACCCAAACCATGCAGGGCTTTAAAGGTGTCCTAACACCAAGTCCTTTGCCTGCCAACTAATTGGCAACAAGTGGAGTGATATTAATATTGGTGTAATGAGAGAAAAATGAGAGATTGGACAGGATAGGAATCGAGCATCCCTCTATATTTTATTGAACTGCAGCCCTCAGTGGCTCTAGCCAACATACTTGGTGTTAAGGAATGCTGGGAGTTGTAATTGAGCATCATCTGGACGACCATTTGATTCTGCCTTCACCTAATCAGAATAACCATTTATGTAGTTTACAGGCAGCATTCAGATATAGGATCCCTAGTTTTTAAGGTAATTCTAGACAAGGCTCTGTGGGCGGAGAGGAAGATGAATAAAAAGATGGAATGGTTTACATGAAATGTAGATGGGAAAATGAAGAGTTTTGACAGATGTGTGATAGGAACGTGAGTGTAGACAACTTGATATACAAGGAGTTAGGTAAATTTTATTGGTGCTAGTGAGAAGTTGTAAGAAGAGAATGACAAAGGAAGCAATTAAAATACAAATATTGCCTGTTCCAAGGTGCATATAAAAGCATATAA